GTTTAGAAGTTCAAAGAATTCCCTTGTTCTCTGGCCGAGAGAACAAAGGCGCCTTTCCACCTGCCCACCCAAATCTTCCAAAACTCCTCAAGTGAGGTGAGGTATATACCCTAATTCATACTAAGGATCCTTAGTATGAATTAGGGTATATACCTTAATGAAGGGGTTTCGGAAGATCTGGCATGTTGCAGGACTGGCCCAGAGAGTTTGCCCAGCCAATCTGCCCCCGTGCGTGATCTCGCGCAAGTGCCTCGGCGATGAAGCTATGAAGCTTGCTTGCGGAAGCTGAGGGTTTAGGGTTTAGGGTTCAGGGTTTAGGGTTTAGGGTTCAGGGTTTAGGGTTTAGTGCGCTGTCGCATCCATCTTCGAATGGAAGATCAGCCCTTCCCAGGCCCCAGGCTTGCAACCCCACCTAATGAACCCCTAACCCCCGTTTGTGCTGAAACGCTGGGCCCCCCAAATCTCTTCAGGACCGATCTCGGTGACTCCATCATGACGGCAATCACAATTGCAACGCTGGCAGACGTACCATTCACGCTGCTTCTTCTGAATTTTGGTTTCAGCTTTGAAGCGGACGCTGGTTGGATTCATGTTCCCGGCATCTCTTGCTCAGCTGCTTGTGTAGAGATGGGAGTTTACGAAAATAGGGGACCCAAATACTCCCACTTGACAAGTGTCATCCGAACACTCAGAAGAGTAGGTGGCAGAGAAGCCACTTGCATGCAGCAACGCTATGGTTCCACTTGGGGCTTGTGGGTCAGGGGTCAACCTGAAAGGGGCTCCCTGATATTGTCAGGTTTGTAAAGCTGGGCGTGCTGCGCAAGCAAGAGTGCGAGCGTGTGCAAGCTCTGCGCGACGAGCCTTGGTGGCGGACTGGGCCAACAGAGAGCCTCTTTAGCCGCGCGAGAAACAGCAAACTTACATTTGGGCCTCCGATCTTCGGGACGGAGTAGTCGTGTAGAGCTTCCTGTTTAGTGAGTTTAGTCCTTAACATGTTGTAATGTTGCACTGTCTTTAGTATGGGCCCCCCCCCCCCCCCCCAAACAAATTTGGACTCCTCTATAAACGCGTGGCCCGGCGACCCCCCCAAACAAATTGGGGGGGGGGAACCGCCCTCAGGGCCTCAAGCCCCTTTAGGACCTCAAGGCCTGAAGCTTTCCAGCCTTTAAGATTCCTGGAGCCCAAGGCCCTCGGGGCCTCAAGCCTTACTGCGTAAGCCCTTAACCCAAAACACAAACCCTCAAAAAAAAACATCCGAAAAAAAACTTGGTATTATAGAGGGTAGCCAGACAAACTTACTAAAGACAGTCTGACCGGCCCGTGGGCTACCTATCACAAAATTTGTTTGGGGCCTCGTTTCGTAATGAATTTCCATTAGGCTTTACATGGGATTGGCCGGGCTTAGATTTCTGGATTCTCCGCGCTCTGGCTCTTTAAGGTTCCTGGAGCCCAAGCCCTCAGGGCTTCAAGCCTTACTGCGAAAGCTCTTAACCCAAAACACAAACCCTTAAAAAAAAAAAAATCCGGAAAAAACTTGTGATAATAGCGGGTACCCTGAACAAACTCGGTTCGCAGAATAAATTTTCGAAACTTGTGATTATAGACCCTCCTTATACTAAAGTCAGTCCAACATTAATTCCTTCAGTCCTTTTGCGATCGCTTTCGCCGCACACTCGAGGAGTTTTGAGAGTTGAGGCCGGTGCAGCTAAAGGCAAGCGCGCATGTTGTTGTCCTGCTTGGCCCTCTCGGAATCCAGGTGCGGTCTTTCCTTCACAGATCCAACCCATAGGAAACTACTGTATAAAAGCCCGACAAAGCCACTCCTGTAAAGAAGTAGGGTCTCAGTTTGGGTCCGGTCCTTTCAGCAGTCATCGAGGGTGAGTTTGGCGTTTTACGCAGTTGAAGAAGGTTCGCATGTGCCGTAAGCAAGATGTTGATAGCAAGTGTCATTACCTGCAAGAGGTCTACTTTGCAAAGTGCTGTGTGGGCTTTGTGCCTTGTGCGTCTGGAGCGATCTAGATCTCAGACCCTCGCAGCAGAATGTGCATCCTGGTGCTTGCAGAGGCGAGCCATACTACAGTTTTCAGGTCAGAATATAATCATACTTTTAATGACAATATCATAGTACTATAATAAGGATATCGTAGTACTATAGTTTTTTCATCACAATATATTCGGAGCAGAATTTCAGGCGGTTAGAAGTGTACTGACCTGATGTCCACGCTCCTGGCTCTGAGGAGCTCACCAAGTGCAAGGTCGTTGTCAAAGAGGCTTCTTGGGTTTTAGGGAATTAGGGTTTAGCGAGGGTTGAGGGTTTAGGGGTTTCAAGCTCAGGCTGCACGTTCATGCATCTGCCTGGTCAGAAGGTTGCTTCGGTCCCTCATGCCCTCAACCCCAAAAGCCTTGAGCGTCCTAAATCGCAATGGCACTCCGCGAGAGCAAGCCTCCTGGGTCTCTGTTAGGTTCAGGTCCTTCTATAGAAGTTGCTTCATGCTAAACCATCAGACTTGGCTGCCCTTTGGCAAGCTTCTGGCTGCAGGTGGAAGACACGCTGGAGATCGCGCCATGCACGTCTGCGATAGGCAAAGGGGGTAGTGCGTTCTGCCGCCTGCGCCTGTTCCACATGTCGCGACGTAGCTAATTAGCGAGCTCAAGGTCTTGCCCTCCAACCCTCAACTCCTGCAAGCACGGGACACTTGTGTGCAGAGCTTTGGCTCGCGTCAGCAAGTGCGGCATTCCCTCCCCAAACCTTAAACTCTAGTCTAGAACAGTCCTGTCAGGCGATGCTTCAATCCACACCTACCACGCCGCACGGCTGATTTTCAGTGCTTGAAGGCTACCCAGCCCGACCTCCAACCTGAGTTCGGATGACTTCGGGGCACATTGCTGGCAGCTGCATGGGTGTTTTGGCGGGTTTAGTGGGGTTTAAGGGGGCTTGCAACTGTGGAAGTGGCAGGAGCATCTTGAGCTGAGGATCACCGCATGGCGATGTGCTTCGCCACGCTGGGTCTCGTGGCTCCGGGGATCAAGATTGAAACTGGGCCAGAATATGCCGGCAAAGAAGGCAACCAATGGCGCACCGCAGGCATAAGAAACATGGCAAGCTTGACACGGTGATCCGCCGCAACCATGCCTGCTTCTCAGGAGTTTGAGCAGCCCTAAACGGTGATGAAAACCCTGAAGCCCTTCACCTTCAACCCCTAAGATCCAAATCCTAGGGGCCGAGTATGCGCCTTGCTTTTTTTCCGCCCTTGGCCTCGCCAGCCGAGGAGGATCCCAGCTGCGTCCGGAAGACCGTGCCCTCCTTCTTCCAGACTCTTGCTGGCTTTCAGCTCGGGAGACCATTCTGGGAGTTTTGGGGGGGCCCACCTTTCACTCCCACTCTTCAAGCCCAGCCCTTGCGCGGTACCCTCGTGGTGTGCCGAGGATTCTGAGTGCCCCGCCGCCGCGCGGCCTGGGTGTGGAGATCTGGGCATCTCGGCTGCAGTGAGGCCCTGATTTCTATCATTGTTTGTATCCTCAAGGCCCCCGTCGTCTTGTTCGCTTCCCCCTCCCATGTGCAGTCTTGTCCGCTCCCCATGCGCTTCCAGAGAAGCGTCGATTTAGGGTCTACCGTCCAGCTGCGGAACATCGGGGAACTCGGCATGGCTTTGCGCCGGCGGAAGTCCCGTTTTCACATGGTTTGGACTCGAGAAGCTTCTCTTCTTTTGGCGCCCATAGTCCCATTCTCAACCTTGACTTCAAACTAACGATGGATAGCCCAGGGCCTGGCGGAAACCTACACTTGAGCCCCTACCCTCTTGGATCCTTAGCGCAACACCTGCAAGAAAAACCTTAGAACCACCCGAACCGCTCCTCGAAACTCTGGCCACGCCCCTGAGGAATGTGACCCGAAAACGGGAGCACGGGTGCGGAGGCTTACGGATCCGGCTGACCTGGAGCCGCGCCGGAAGTAAGGACCTGTCAGTAGTTTAGGGTTTAGGGTTTAATTTAGGGTTTAGGGGTTGAACTTCTTGGGCTTTAGAGTTTGGAGCCTACAGCAGTCATCTTCGGGTCTACGCTCTAAGCGGAGCACTTAGGGAGATGGTTCTAAGATCATGAGGAGAGCAAGAGGGTTTCTAGGTAGGCCCTTGGGATATTCTATCTGTTTCCCTTGTTGGGTTTAAGAGGGTCATGTTCAAGGATATTTTTCATTTTCAGAAAGTTTTAAGGGCCATCCTTCAGCCTAATTCTAAGGTGTGGGGCTGCTGTCATGCAACGATGGGCACACCGGTGGTAGAGAATGACATCTTCGGAGGAAACACCCCCAGGATCCCCCCAAAAGAGTATAATGATTATACTCTTTTGGGTTTAGGGTTTAAAATCCTGACTTCCTTTTAGGAACACCTCCGGATAGAAGCATTGGGTCGTAGTTCGCGGAGAAAGGGCCCGCCTTGGACTTCCGTCGTGCAGGGCCCAGGTACGCTTTTTCCTTTGCAGGCGGCTAAACGCTGCGCCCTGCGACTCTACCGTCTCTTGACGCTGCCGTGTCTGACGGCGCTGAATGGCAGTACCGGAAAAAGGCGCGTGTCCGTGCTCACTTCACATCCTGCCAAGCCCGGGTGTCAAGGACATGCATCATGAGCGAAGGGAAGTCTCTCAACATGCGAAGGCGAGCAAAGATCCTTGAACCTAATCTGCGAACACTCTTGCATGAGCCCCCCCTCATGATATCCCTTCATCGATCTCGAGCCCGCAGCGCCCTCGCCGGCAAAATCCGACAAGCCCAAGGACCTGACAGGGTTCTAGGTTCGAGGTGAGTGATAGAGTTAGCTGGCGCATCCCGCCTCAGCTGGGACTACCTGGGATGCAAATCCCCTGCGTGTTTGCCTTACGATATAGTCTCTTGAAAGGCAGATACCTCCTCTCTACTCTTAAACCCTTAAACCCTGAACCCTGAGCCCTCAAACCCCACACCCCCGAAACCCCTAGACCCCAAACCCCACCCTCTTGTGGCCGAGGCCCTGATCTGTAGCATCTCAACGGGCCGCCGGGGCTACGCCCAGAGCCGCCGCGTCGTGGATGCGGCGGCCTTGTGGGTGACGCAGGGGGAGGAGGTGCTCCAGGGTTTTGCGCAGGTTCTCTTGGAAGCAATGAGAGTTGGACTCCCAAATCCACGACCTCATGGGAGGATCAGACAGCCGAGCAGACGACGATCCGAGAGCTGGAGGGGCAGGTTCAGGCGACGGCGTCCATGGAGTGCGGTTCTGGCACATCAGCCAGGTTTAAAGCGGGGCTTCTTCTCAAAGCCCAACAAGTCCCCAACCCTCAGCTAATGGTCCAATCTGTTAGCCCCAGGAGGCATGTCAAGGTTCATGGCCTTGTCTGGGCAGAAGGAGAGGCAAAGAAGAGGAGCAAGGTGTTTGAAGCGAATGAGCCCAAAAGGGCAGCAGCAGTGCCCCTCTAAGCTTCCCTGAACTCCAACATGCAAAAGGTTGAGGGTTTTTGGGGCTTAGGGTTGCAAAAGGTTTTAGGGAGTAGGTCGTCGCAGGTCACGTGCACAAGGGCTTGGGGTTTAAAGCGCCTAGAGGCAAGAAGAAGGCCCTAAACCGAAGGCCTAAACCCTAAACCCTAACCCTAGACCCCAAACCCTAAACCCTAAACCCTAAACTCTAAACCCTAAACCCTAAACCCTCCGGCGACCAGGCTTTGCAGGCCGAGCTCGCAGCCTCAGTGCCGCGCTGCGAGGTGTTGGCGCTGACGGCGCGGGGTCTCAAACATGTTGTGATACGATACGATACTCATTAACGTCTTGATAATAACAAGCTAGTGATAACATAGTAATGTAATAGGATAGTACTGTAAAAGTATAAAGTCATAGTAATGTACTAATGTATGAACATATTTGTATGGAGAGTTGGGCCAGGATGGGTTGGTTTGCGTTCCATTGGGTTTCTTGAGCGATTCGAAGGGTCAATTGCTCTCACGCGCATGGGGCTTGAACGAGGACTTACATGTAAGGAATGTTGTGCCAAAGCCTTCGCACCCCTGCGCTGCACCCTCAACCGTTCTTTGAACTCCGCTGACCTGCAGGAGCAGGTTCAATCTTTGGAGCGGCAGCAGGAAGACTTGAGGCCGTAGTTTGGCTGGGATTGTGGTGTGTGATCGGGGCCGTTGTCCCTAGCACGAAGGGAAATTTAGGGCACAACCGGTCCAGAACACTAGTATGCTCAGTCCATCAAAAGACCGCTTAAGGCGCTAGGTGTCCCGTGTACGTTATTTTTCGACTTGGCGAGACGACGAGGGTGCAGAACAACTTGCAGTTGAAGGGCCACCCATCATGAAGGATCCCCCTAACAGCTCTCAGAAGGGCTTTGCAGCGGATGGCTCGGCCACTGGCAGCTCAAGAAACTGGAAAGTGACGGGAGCTGCACCTACGACATGAGGGGGCTTGAGACTCGGAGCCTGCGACTGCCAGGGGCGCCTATGCCGCAGCGGTGAAGCGGGCGGAGGCCACAATGGGGATTGGATCTTGTATGATCTTGTGCTGAGCATGACGTTGAAACCTTTGCAGAACTTCTTGCTGGGCTCGACAGGTGCCTCAAGAGCATTCAGGGCCTTTGTCTGGCTTAGAGGGCACGAGCCAGCAAGACCCCCAAGCATTCCAGGGCTCATGGCATCAAGGCTGCACCTCCTCCCTTCCAACGCAACCAGAGAAAGACCATCGCCACAGAATGGCGTACTGCCCGTCAGAATCACACCATCACACCATCCAGTAATCTCGTAATGCTAGCACCAGGTTGTTTTTACGCAGCTAACTCTGAACAAGCTTGCCCCTGAAGATGTATTCTGCTGATTTTGTGGCACGTCAGACTTCGGCTTGTCCACAGAGTGCCCTGCAGTGCGTCCGACTGTGGTCATTAGGGTTTAGGGTTTTGGGTTTTGGGTTTGGGGTAAAAGGGCCCTCAATGCCCCAACACCCCCAACACCCCCCAACGTGTCGACGTTGAACTGTTAGGATGCTGAGCGGCGCTTGAAAGACGCGACCAAGGAACTCGAGGCCGATATGAACTAGAGTTTAAAGTACTGTTCTTGGTGAGTGTATATAGGCTTGCCCTCCAACAAATTCTGGAGACTCAGGCGCTTAGGGTGTTTAGGCCCTCAACCCTAAACCCTAAACCCTAGACCCTAGACCCTAGACCCTAAACCCTAAACCCTAAACCCTAAACCCTAAACCCTAAGAGGGTAGTCGGACTACTGGGCCCTCCTCCGAGTGCCTTCTGCGGCGTGCCCCCAAAAAGACAGCAAGACTGCTTCATCCCATGATCCCCCTAAACCCTAAACCCTAAACCCTGAAAGGAGGATGGGCTTCGGGTTCCACAGGGGTGTGGGGCCTTTGAGCTGTGCCAAGACTGGGCGTTTTTTCGGGGGGGCCCGGCGCCACTTAAGTTGCGGCTTTCTCCGGCTGGAGCATGTTGGAGCCGAGGGGGTTTGCACTGGGCGTGCGGCTGCATAGCGGCCGATTCGGTGAGTTCAGGGGTCGAGTGCGGGTGGGGACTCGGATGTGGGGGTCTATGAGTCTATGACTAGATATATAGTTATAAGAGTTTCACTTCCGAATCTTAAAAGCACTCAAGAGATAAAGATCCGTAGTCACACTGTCTGGAGGCTTGGTTCATCTGGTCTAATCTGTTCTCGTCCCCGTGATGGGCCATTTCCTTGCATTCCAGGGCTCTAGAATGTGAATGTAGTCTGTGAGAGTAAACCCCAGAAAAAAGTGGGTACAGTAGACATCACCAAGCCCTTTGGCAGGGGTTGCGGCTGCATGCAAAATCTGAGACGGCACCGTGGCCGAAAAGGTTGTTACAGTTTAGGTTTGCCTTGCGGTTCTCAAGTTCAATACCAAGAAGCCGTCTGCCCCCCCCCCCCTCCCCCCCCAACTCCTGAGAGTCAGGTATGGACGGGATGCTTCACACATGTATATATATATATACACACATATATGTATATATGAGTGCCTGCCTAAATTATGCTTGTCTAAGCCAGTACTACGGTGGACACGAGTTGTTGCGAATATCAGTAAACCATGCAAAGTGATATGGGCGCCACCTAAAGTGATAACATGAGTTTGCACATTTTGCTTGGCGGGATCCCGCAGTCCCATGGTATGTAAAGCGATATGAGCGCCTGCCTAAATTATGTTTGTCTAAGCCAGTACTACGGTGGACACGAGTTGTTAAACCATGAAAAGCGACATGGGCCCCACCTAAAGCGATAACACTAGTTGGCACATTCAGACGCGTGTATCCGGAGCCCCATAGTATGTAAAGCGATATGGGCCCCACGTAAAGCGACAATATAGTATTCCGCGACCTCGCACTGTGTAACGTGATTTTGTCCGTCGCTCATATGGGCCCCAGGTAAAGCGATAACATGGTATTCCGCGACCTCCCTAAGTAATTTTGTCCGTCGCCCATATATATATATATATATATACATGTACATGTACATGTATATGTGTATGTGTATGTGTATGTGTATGTGTATGCGTATGCAAATGTAAATGTATATGTATATGTATATGTATATGTATATGTATATGTATATGTATATGTATATGTATATGTATATGTATATGTATGTCTGTCTGTATGTCTGTATGTCTGTATGTCTGTATGTCTGTATGTCTGTATGTCTGTATGTCTGTATGTATGTATGTATGTATGTATGTATGTATGTATTCAGACAACATCTAGATGGCTAGCGCGCGCCTAATGTATGCACGTATGAATGCACGTATGTATGTATTTGTGTATATGCACATATGTTCAGTTGTTTAGCGTGTATGTTTAGTTTATAGCAGCCCACTGTCAGACTGAGGCTCACGCTCCAGAGCCCCCTTCTGTGACGCCTGCGAAGGTGGCAAGTTGCAGGTCTAGGGCTATTGTCTTCGGAGGGTTTAGGGGTTTCTTGACTTTAAGAAGGCTTGATGGATCAGGTTGGGGCCTCGAGTTGTCAGCCACCTCGAGCCCTCACAAGCTAAACCTGCAGAGCGGCTCGGGGACCCCGGCATGTTTCTCGCATGGTCAGACAAGCACTACTAGTGCATGTGGACGTGTAAAACATGTGACTCCGAAATTGGGGGGTACCTTCTTGGGGTCTTTATTATGAGGGAATCCTACTATTTGGGGTCTAGTTTAGGGGTCCCCTACTTCTGTAACCGTGTCATATCGCGTACATGTCATGGCGAAGGCAACGAGCCAGCGCTGGGCAAGACAGCAGCAAGTGCTTTCTTGCTTGCTGGGGTCCCCTGGGTCTCCAACAGACAGTTGCGATCCCTACGCGTGTTTTGGAAAGGGGAGGCCCAGCTGTATGCGACAACACTTGTCCCAGACTCTTGAGATAATCGCACTTTATTTAACAGCGTGGGGTGACGTGCTTGTGGTATGTAATCATGCAGCTGTTATAGCTGAAATTTGTGTTGGCGCACATGAAACAGAATTGACATGTCTTAATGCGACCTCTGCCCTACCCGTGAGTTGCTGGGGCGCCGCTGCTGCCTCTGCAACAGCGCCGGCAGCTCTTACACCGCTGGCCGGGTGTAGGGCTGGCCCAGTGGGGGACATGGCCTTGGATCCATCGGACTACTAGGTGCTGAACATGGCGTGCCTGGTATCAGGCAGGCAATTGGTCCGGTCAGACAGCACGTCCTGACAGGGTTCAAAATGGCGTGTCGGTGGGGCCCTTGAGGCCAACGTGCCAGCGCCGGGCACATGACAGCAAGGCGATGCGCCAAAGTGCTTGCTGGGGGCCCCCTGGATCTACAACAGAAAGTTGTGATCCCCATGTGTGCTTTTGAAAGGGGAGGCCCAGCAGTATGCAACAACACTTGTCCCTGTATCGTGATCACGGTTTCTTTGTGGCTATGTTGACACAAGCTGGCATGTAATCGTGCAATAGTCGTAACAGTCGCGCAGACGAGCCTTCTGGCATACAGACTTAGTGTTTCCAGCACATGCCTCGCGACAGAATGCGCCTGCCTTAATGCGACCTCTGCCCTACCCATGAGTTGCTGGGGCGCCGCTGCTGCCTCTGCAACAGCGCCGGCAGCTCTTACACCGCTGGCCGGGTGTAGGGCTGGCCCAGTGGGGGACATGGCCTTGGATCCATCGGACTACTAGGTGCTGAACGTGGCGTGCCTGGTATCAGGCAGGCAATTGGTCCGGACAGCACGTCCTGACAGGGTTCAAAATGGCGTGTCGGTGGGGCCCTTGAGGCCAACGTGCCAGCGCCGGGCACATGACAGCAAGGCGATGCGCCAAAGTGCTTGCTGGGGGTGCCTGGATCTACAACAGAAAGTTGTGATCCCCATGTGTGCTTTGGAAAGGGGAGGCCCAGCAGTATGCAACAATGCTTGTCCCTGTATCGTGATCACGGTTTCTTTGTGGCTATGTTAACACAAGCTGGCATGTAATCGTGCAATAGTCGTAACAGTCGCGCAGACGAGCCTTCTGGCATACAGACTTAGTGTTTCCAGCACATGCCTCGCGACAGAATGCTCCTGCCTTAATGCGACCTCTGCCCTACCCATGAGTTGCTGGGGCGCCGCTGCTGCCTCTGCAACAGCGCCGGCAGCTCTTACACCGCTGGCCGGGTGTAGGGCTGGCCCAGTGGGGGACATGGCCTTGGATCCATCGGACTACTAGGTGCTGAACATGGCGTGCCTGGTATCAGGCAGGCAATTGGTCCGGACAGCACGTCCTGACAGGGTTCAAAATGGCGTGTCGGTGGGGCCCTTGAGGCCAACGTGCCAGCGCCGGGCACATGACAGCAAGGCGATGCGCCAAAGTGCTTGCTGGGGGCCCCCTGGATCTACAACAGAAAGTTGTGATCCCCATGTGTGCTTTGGAAAGGGGAGGCCCAGCAGTATGCAACAACACTTGTCCCTGCATCGTGATCACGGTTTCTTTGTGGCTATGTTGACACAAGCTGGCATGTAATCGTGCAATAGTTGTAACAGTCGCGCAGATGAGCCTTGTGGAGTTCAAAATGCGTATTTGCCGCATATGCCTCAATCAAGACAGGACATGTTTTCAACATGTGAGAAATCCTCTCACAGAATTTCAACGACATACCGGTTATCTCGACGACATGTACCCGCATGCGGTTGTCGTTAGGCGGGAGTTTAGGTGACCTTGGGAACACTGAGCAGCCCTCCCGAACCTCAGATCCCCAAAACCCAATGGCTTCCAAAAACACTGAGCTATTTCCCACGCGCATTCCGAAAGACGATAAGAGCCACACGGAAGCTGTGCCTTTAGGCTACCTCCCGCCTAGGGGGGTAGGCCTGGGGTAGACCCTTGGCCAGGGTGAGAGTTAGGCCTAGGCCTGCCACTCTAGGGGTTGGAGCTTCTATACCATAGGAGCCACGTCCACGCCGCTCGAGGGCGGCCGTGAAAGTGCAGCCGGCGCCGTGGCTGCTTTATTTCGGCTCCGGGTTCAATCAAAGGTGTCGGAATCGGAAAACTCCTCAAAAAGGTTTTCAAATCATGGCGTCAGAGTTTGAAGGTTCTTCAGCGTCGACCTCCATCTGCAAAAGAGGTGGGCTTTCTTACCTCTTAGTGCGTCGGAGCCTTCTGCCGAGGCTCCCAAAGGTAAATCACAGCCCGTAAATGCTGTTCCCATTAAGAAGAACAAAAGAACAATGTCAGAAAACCGTGGATGATAAACACATTAAGCAAAAGATAAAGAGTTCTTCCCGGATAATGAAACATAGAAAGAAAGGCCGATGATACACCGCTAGAATGAAGATAACATAAGCACAATCCAAAGTATTTTCTCTTGATGAAACACGAAGAAAATGCTGAACGTCGGATGTGCAAACAAGAACAAGAGGATCCATGTAACAATATGCAATAAAACAGGAAATCCGAACAAACGCCAACATTTTAACCCGAGAGGGGCCATGAACCCGAATGTAGACACGCATCACGTACACGGCGAACACAAGAAATGTGATGGATAATGTATTAATGAATTATCAATTTTCCAGTTCTCTGTACCTATCATTTTTTCTCTCCTTTCCTCTGTCTCTCTTATTCTCTACGTTTCTCTTTCTGTTTCTGCCTCTGTCTCGCTCTCTCTCTCTCTCCCTCGTTCCCTTTCTCTTTCTCTCTCTGTCTCTCTTTATTTCTTTCATTTTCTCTATGTTTCTCATGAACTTTAATACTTTTGATTTATGTGTTTTTGTCATTGTTTCTTCAAACAGTTTGTCATCTGTCGTGACATTCTATATTATCGGTTCTCTTGCCAAAAGCATGCTGGATTCTCACCTTCCCAAGAAGACGGCTCCTGAACCTGAAGCACGAAACCCTGAACCCTAAACCCCATAAACCCTAAACGTCACACAGTTCGCATGCTGCGTGTGGTACGCCATATGGGCAAGAGCCTCTGCCAGCGAGTCACGGGGTCCTCCCTCTGCGCATCAACGAAGTTCCCACAAGAACATGGGCTAGGGTTGAGGGTTTAGGGTTTAGGGCTTAGGGTTTAGGGTTTAGGGTTTAGGGTTTAGGGTTTAGGATGTAGGGTTTCATCGGATGACGCGTGCACACCACCCGTCCTCCGCTTCTCACGAAAAATTGCCCAGCGGAAGTCGAGCCGAGGTAGCACCGAAAGCGCACATGCAATGTCCTGGAGTCTGGAGCAAAGTTCCTTTCAAGCAAGGTCGGTAGTCGAACCGACAGATTATTTTTTTGCTTTTTGTTTTTCTCTGTCTTTCTCTCGCTCTCTCCCCCTCTCCCTCTCTCCCCTCTGCCTCTTTCTCCTCTCACTGTCACTCTTTCTTCCAAATCCTCGCCACTGTCGTCACTCAAACTCGTACCTGATATTGCGTTTGCAAACTGAGGCTTGAAAAGTGACGAGAGATACCACGATCTCGACTGTCCTCGACACCAAACCGAGCCCCAAAAGCGACGACACTTACGAGGATGGCGAACCCCACTTCCCTGAACTGTCGGCACTTGTCTGCAAACCGAAGCTGGAATTGCGACGACAGTTCCGAGAACGGCGCGCCCCACATGTTTCATCCTCTTGACTGTTCGCACTTTGAGGCCTCAGCACCAAACCAAGCCTCAAAAGTGAGGCCATTCAAAAAGAGCAGAGAAGAGATTCCAAATCAAAACATCGGATGTTCAGTGCAAATCTCGGAGGTTCCTAATAAGTTTGTCATAACATGGTAGTTGCCACCTGAGGCCTCCCTGAGACGCTGGGACCGTCTCTAGGACACTTTTTTGAGGATTGCTGAAACTCCCTACCGGTTTGGAAAGCCTCTGGACCCGCCTGGGACCGGAAGGAGACAATCGACTTGAGTTTAGGCCTAAACCCTCAAAGGAGTAAGTTAGGGTGGTTTTGCCGCCTGAGACGGCGTGGGGTGGGATTACAGCGTGAGATGGCCCTCCACGTCTGCATCCCAGCCTAAACCCTTAGGGTTCACCCTAAAACCCTAAACCCGAAACCCCAAACCCCAAACCCCAAACCCTAAACCCTAAACACTGCGGGTGGCAAAAAAAAAACCCTAAACCCTAAATCCTCAGAAACCCTAAAGACAGTTCACCACCCAAGGCCTGGCAGGATCTCATTGGCCTCAACCAGCCAGTGAAGCGCCGACGCCGCGAGGAGGAGGAGGAGAATCTGGAGCTCCCTGTTCCTCCCCCCGTCGAAAGGGGGGTGAAAGCCAGGCCCATGATTGCACAGGCGTGAGGTCCATGTTTGCCCGCAGCTCTCTTGGGCATGAACTTCTGCAAGTTCCCGATGAATCAAGCCGATGTTCCGGGAGGCTATGGCTCAAGCCATCCTTCATTTTTTTCCGATTCCCTGCTCAGACGTCAGATCCACAGAGGACCGAAAGTCTTCGGATGTCTCCGCCATGGTTCGGCCTCGGCCTTCTTGCCCTCCTCTCGGGTGCGTTGGCCATCTGCCCTGAGGTGTGCTCGACTCAAGCGGGTACCTTGGCAGCTTTTAAGGGCCCTTCCCTCTCTCCTTCTCCTTGTTTCAAGGGCCACCCTTCTTGTTGCGGGATTTGTGCATGGGCCTTTTTTGGGGTGCGCGCATGACTCATGGCCGCGTTTGCAAGGCACCCCTTGGCCTTGCAGATTTTACAATGGCGGCCAGTGCACGGTGGATGTGAACGCCAGCGCCGGCAGGGCGGGCGCGCAGGACATCAACATTGCCGCGGCTTGGACCTGCACTGCTAGGCCAGGCCTTTCAAGAGGCTGCGAGGTCCTGAGGGAGTACTAGTGAACGACAATGCCAACTCCTCCAATGTGGGTTGAGCAGTACTTGGACGTTCAGGGCACTTCTTAACCCAATACTATCCGTACTTTTACCACCCTTAAGTGCCCTAACATGGTTATAATTGGTTGTTATGTACAGTTACCATTGGGTTCATAATAAGTACCCTGAACCTCCAAGTAGAGCAGCTGAGGTCATCAGCCCCTACACCGGGGTCATCGGAGACATGATGACTATGGCCGAGCCGCTCCTGGCACTCGCTGCGCAGGAGATCGAGGACAGCTCCTACCTCCCGGGCTACCGAGTCAACTTGCACCTGACAGATGCTTACACTTCGCCAGTACTTGAGCTTTGTAAACTTTTGCACCTTACGGATCTTACAAAGCCAATGCTTGGATGTAATCTTGTTGGGGCGTCGATTTTTTGGAATAGAGACCATCAAGTGTAACCTCTTTTTCCCCCCTTGGCCATTGGAGAAGTAAGGATTCCGGCTGTGATGAGGCACAGGGGACCGAGGCGACCATCGAGGCCTTCACCGTCGGGCCCACCCTAAACCCTAAACCCTAAACCGCCTAAACCCTAAACCCTAAACCCTGAACCCTAAACCCTAAACCCTGCATTGCTGTGGCTAGACGGGTGCCAAAAAAAACCCTGAACCCTCAACCCTGAACCCTGAACCCTCAACCCTGAACCCTGAACCCTAAAAACCCTCGAGGCCTTCACCGTCGGGCCCACGAAGCACGCGATCTTGGGCGACTCCTGCAGCCAGGCCTGCGCCGCCGTCAGCGATGCCGCGCGGCTCTTCAAGGCGGGGGAGTCAGGGCAGAGGATATATCTGTATATGTACATATCTATATATATGTATATATTTACGTATTATACATATGATATGGTATATACTATATACCATATCATATCATATGATATCATGTAGTATCATATCATATTATATTCTGTTATAGTGTATTGTATTATATATTATATTGTATTATATTGTATTGTATTATATTATATTATTAATATATTATATTATATTATATTATGAGTTTTGTATTATATTATATTATATTATACTATATCATATTATATGATATTCAAATCTAATATACTATCATATAATACAATATAATATATTACATTATCTTAGATTCTTTTTACATCATATTATATCATATTTTATGTTATTATATTGTATCATATATAATGTGTATCATGTTGTTTTGTAACGCTATATTAAGTTTCTATTACATTGCATTATACCACTCTATAATACATTCTATTGTATTACATTATATCTTGTTACATTACCTTGTATTATAGTGTATATGTAGCAGAGTGTCGAGTTGACAATGTTGCGGCAGGACTAGTATGCCGTAGGTGCCCCGAGCTCCAGCTGCTGCCCTAAACCCAGAACCCTAAAACCCTAAAACCCTAAAACCCTAAAACCCTAAAACCCTAAAACCCTAAAACCCTGAAACCCTAAAACCCTAAAACCCTAAAACCCTAAAACCCTAAAACCCTAAAACCCTAAACCCCTAAACCCTAAACCCTACCTCATCAGGTGCTCATGGTCTCACCCGGATGCGATTCGCCCAGCCTCAGTGATCGGGTGCGCTACCCGCGCCTGGGATGTCAAGCTTGGCATTGCTTCATGTTTTTCTCACAGCCGTAAATAGCAGCAGGGGAATCATGGTGCACAGTCTGCCGTCGACGGTGTTCCCTGACAAGCAAAGGTACTTCACGCGGATGACTCCTTCTGACCGCTTTAAGGTCACTGCCATCTATGAGGTGGGGAGTTGCAGAGGTCTCAGGGAATGTGGCAAACAAAGCAAGAACGCCAAACAGGCCACAAGATCTCGTTCGTATGAGTCCCTGCTTTTGAGGGGGCGGATTCATGTACCCTAAACCCTAAACCCTAAACCCTAAACAGGTGTTCAAGATGTTCTCTTGGCACCGCGTTGGCGTGATGGACGGACCGTTCTACACGGCTGGTGCCAAGGCCTTCTTTCTCGAGCTCATTCAGAGGGACCTGGATGCAGGCACCTACGACTGGACCGTTCTACTTGACCGGACTGTGAACACCCTCGCGGACGCTCAAAGTGCAGCGGATGAGGTCAAGGTGCGCGACTCACGAATCAACATGATGGTCCTGCCGGAGTACATCGGGATGTGGGTCATGTGCCAGTTCTACTTGCGCGACATGCTGCCGCCGGACTGCCGCACTTCCATTCCCCTAGAAATCCTCCCCCCGCCCCGGGCCCCTCACACTCCTCCATTTTGCCCTTGACGCAGGACTACGTTTGGTTCATTGCGGCGTTTGGAAACTGGGTCGACGGCCTGATGTCCTCCATGGCTGGCACACCCGAGCCCTGCTTGAACTTGACTTTCCAGGGCCCAAGGCTTGCGCACAGGGGATGATACTACACATTGCACACATGGGTTCTGGTCAAATGCCGCAGACACGGAAACATACCATGTCTAATGTAGCAGGCTATCATCGAATAGAGTAGTTCATAGCCATTCACAAAAAGAATAATACACGAAAACATGTATGTAATGTTACAACTACATACATACATACGTACATACATACATGGGGTGTCAAATAGAGCTTCCCCAAAGTTCTCGAGCCTCCTGTTGAGCCCCCGCACAGAGAAGAACACTCGTTGCTAATGCAATACCGGATCAGATTCGACATGGACAACATGACACACGAACTGGGACGATTGCAATCACGACAAGCACCTAGACATCTGATCAGGCCATATCGCATCAACTTCAGACATCCCATCGGGCACAGCTGACCAACGCACCTAAATTCTGTCGCCAAACTCACAAAGGAACTCTTCATAAGGATGAAAAAGAGCTAAACGAACCAACGCTACTTGCAGTCCGACTACAATCCCAGAGGATCGCAGCAGCAACGATGATTCCAGCGCTCGCCATCTAGATTCTGTCACCAGATCGCAATGAAATTGTGAATAACGATAGCAAACCTTTAAAAAACCATGTGATATACAACTTCCATTTCATGATCTGTCCTTTTGTTCACTATCCCTAGACACACTTGTATACCTTCTAGATCCAAGCCGAATTATGGCTTTTGCTTCGTCTCGTTATCTGTACTGCTATGCATCAACGCCGGGGTTTGGGCGTGTTTTCACTCAAACATGTTCTGGCATGGCAGCAATCTACAGGTTGAATTGTCTCCGTTACGCAAGTTCATACTCTCTTCAGCAGCAAAACCAACCCCACAAGGCTGCGGGCCAATAACCTCAGACCTTTCCCGTCCCGGCGAGACAGAAAGCCTCATCTCCAGTTTTTTTCTTGTCCTCGGTGTGAGTTCAGCTTGGCCCTCTGGCGTGAAACGTGTCAGTGTTGCCCTTCACCTTCGCCCACGAGCCCACGAGCCCACAAGCTCAGTGGGATTGTTGGATTGTGCACTTGTAGGACTGTGATGCAAGTTTGGAAATTTGGAGGTTGGAAAAAGTTCAGGTCTTAAAGAGTTAGGCCCTCGCAAATTTGGAACTTTCACAAAACCATGAAAACAAGTCTGCAGTTTTTAATAGCTTCAAATAGTAGAATTAGGTTCATTTCAATTGTTAAAATGATTAAAATTCTTCACTTTCGGTGGAACCCTGGATCCAGAGCTAACGGAATCCAGAGATTTCACAGATCAAATCAATCTGCCGAAGTTAAAAACATGCAACAATCAAACTGCCCTAACCATTTAAAGTATCTAAATAGGCCAGACACTGAAAAAGCGGGCTATGTTGATTTATCTAAATCATAGAGTTGCGGTCCACAAAATTTTCAGTACAAATAGGTCAACCAATTCGAACAGTTGAAATTAGATGTGTGAACCAAGCCATGTAAATTAAAAATTCCAACCGGTGGAATGAATCATGGCTAACGCAGTCCCGAGATTTAGGCAATTTTTCAGTGGTGTCAACATTTTAAATGTCAAAGCTTGTGTCAATCATTGTTGAAGACCCTTAGTTTTTTGTAAGAGCGCCAGACAATGTGAATAGTTTGAATAACAGTATTGAGTCAGTTCTGGTAAGCTGTTTCAAAGGTATCAGAGAGACCAGACAATTTACATAGGATTGGGGCAAATTCTGTTGTTTAAACTGTTTAAACTGTGTAAAGTAATCCGAATCCGGTGAAAATCTAGACCCCGAGTTAGTCAAAATCCGGAGATTTCACCCTCCTTGAACAAATTTGAGTAGTTTAAATCATGTAAGTGCTTTGCATAATCGGGGTCAATGCCTTGTCTAAATTTACTTGAATTATTCAGAAAGGCCAGAAAATTTGCAAGAAACCAACACAGGAATTCGGGCCAGTACTATTGTTTTCATGACTAGAACGTGTTATCTTGGCCAGGCAAATTCAAT